AGAATAAAACACCTTTCAATCTAGGTCTTGTCCTTTCCATCAGCCCACAAACCCCATTCTTCTCCTTCAGTGGACTCTCCAGAGCATTCTGGCCTCTAAACTTGCTCCCTCTTTAGTCTTGGAGGACATATGCAGAGGTCAACTGATGTAAGGATGTAGGAATTAAATAATTTATTTCCATGAACTTATCTAACACTTAATCCCTCAAAAATTTCCCCACATCTATTTTCCTTAGCTCTACCTAGCTGATACTGACACTCAAACAGCAGAAACTTCGGCGGTGCGGAGGGTACTAAATAATTTGTCCCTTTTAATCCTCTGACTGGGAAATGAAAAATTATCTTTCATCAGATGGCACCAAGAGAAGATTTTAAATGGTTGCCAGGTCACTTCTGTTCTGGGCTGGACAGCTTCCTGCAGAACTGCTGCCTCAGGAATTAGAGAATGCAACTCTAAGACTTCTACCCCATCCTTTTTATAGCTTTCAAAATTCCATAGTTCTCCAGTGTGGGATTCAGTGGGAAATGTACATGTCTACAATTGAGCTGGTCACCCTGAGCTGTCTCTTTAAGCAATGGAGAAAAAAGATAGGTGCTTCAAAAGTTACATTTACCTTATTCTAAAGCAGTTGTCTGAATCCTAAAAGATGGAGCTCCACTAATTGCATTACTTCATCTTAATTATTTCCATTTATTATATGGGGTGATTAACCTAGTCCTCTGGATCAGTTAAACTTAGGTGAAAATCCCTTTGCTCTTCCTCAGGGAGGGACAAAAAGTTTATGAAAGCAAAGCATTGCTATTATATTCATCAGTCATCACTGTTAGAGCAAAAATGTCATGTTCCATTTTGCACTATACAATTTGGAAAGTGGTTTAATGGTCGTCATTCCCGTATTAGCAGAGATGGCCGACAACTGCTCTGGGGGTCACAGCCCACTTGCCTTTTTCTGTTCCAGCTAATCTTGAAGTGGACCAGCCACTGGACAATTCTAAGCAGGACAACTGACTACATCTCAAAAACATCTGACAGAATGCGTATAAGATAATCTTGTCTCCTGCCTGAAAAACATCATATCGGAGCGTGTCTTTACTGACGCAAATTTACCAAGGCAAGCTTTCCATAACACACCAATCCACAACTCACGAGACAGAAAACACAAATACAAATTTTCTGCATATCTAGGTCAGTCTTTACTGTCTCTGTATAATAAATCAGATGTCATCTGACTACCAGAGTTTTGAGGACAGTAGAACTCGATCATCCAATTCAAATGTATTGAGAATACACCTAGTAACATCACTAATGCAATATTTTTTTGTTACTGCTAAGCGAAGCTGTTCCTCTCATTAAATAGATTTCAAAGTCTCTCTTTCTAGTCTTTTTTTTCATGATATAGTCGTCTTTGGACAATCTTCATTTGTATGAAGAAAAGAGAACTGTTACTTGATCTTTCTGACCCTGACGAAAAGATCAGGAAGCAGCAACGACAATATCAAATTCTGGCCCATTCTAGGCTCCAAACTCATTTGAAGATTCAACTCTGGAATCAATCTCTTGATGAAAAATGCTTTACTTCACAGTTCACTGTGAACTTTTTGACTCTTAGTTCGGTCATAAGGACTATTTTTAATTTTTACTGCAATCCGATTTTGAGCCGTTGATGACTTGGTGAGTCAAGACTAAGAACAGAAGGTATCAGGGAAAGCACACGGAAGGCCAGTGGAGTCAGCCAACCTCCTCAGAAGCTTACAGAAGCCTAGTTCTGTGGCAAGAAAGCACTCACATTCTGCATTAACAGGAAACTTTTTCCATTTCCACCTTCTTGCACCACATTCACTTCTTTGAGAAGGAAGCAAAGCAAAATCAATGAAAAAACAAAGCAATATCCTGTTTTAATATCATTAAAGTACTATCTTTCTCAAGCACTGTTTTTTTCTCCCACTTCTGTCGTATCAACCTGGGATAAAAAAATTATTACAAACAAAAAAACCCTGAAAAACAACTCCACATTTTTCCACAGAAAAAAAAAGAGGTTATATCATGAGCACACTTAATGGAATTCTTCTCTTTTGATGAAGTTTGGAACAAATACTGTACAATACGAGAATAACTGCAACCTTTTTTCCCTTTAACTATGAAGAAACTAGTTTATCTTCATTTTAAAGAATATTATGAAAGGTACAATTTTAGGGAAGAGCTTTAAAGAATGTGGCTTGTTTCCATAAACAAGATACTACCCAGACATTCCTTAATTTAGAAGATAATAAATTTGTTTTCTGTCTAACATACATATAAAAAAGGGTGTATTAAGCAGGAGTATGGCTCCAAGAATTTGTCTTGACAAAATAATCACTGATATATTAAGTTAACAAAAGTATAGGTGGCAAAAGAAGAAAATCCAGTCCTTTTGTAAAGAAGTGCAATAATCTACTTCTGGAATGGACACAATATTAAAAAAAATCCCTACACAGCATATCATAAATCATCTCTCATAATTTTTAAAATAAAAACATCCATTTTCTGCTGAGACATACATACTAAGCATTACACTGATTTCAGTAAGGTCATTTACACATATGGCATTCCCTTACTTTATAAATCGGTTTTAAATTACAGTTGATGTGTTTAGTTTCTTCTAACTAAATTAGCATAGTACTAATATAACTGTGTAGTTAGTTTGTTACCATTTGTTTGCTCTCAAATGATTTTATCAGGTTTACAGAAGAGCATTAGTAAATTATATATATAGCGATAACTTTTGTAACTGCTGTCCTATTATCAAAAGCTAAAATTCCAAGAAGAATTAAATATACAGAACATGAACATAACCTTTTAAAAGAGGTACTTTAAAAATCTCCATAGAAATAAACCAGAATACATATGATATTTCAGTTTAATCTTCTAAGAGGCTTTGATAACTTTGATAACTTTGAAAAACAGCACATTACAAAACTGTAAGGGAACACCCCACTTTGTGTAGGCATTGCAGAACAGATGATAAAATTCTCACTGCATTGTGGATGTCTTTGCTGGTTTCCTCTTCCACGACCTCCAGACTCAGGGTTTGGATATAAAAAGAAAAATCATATAGGACTTTTTGTGTTGTTTTTTTTTTGTTCATTTGGGTTTTTTTAATGGCAGTAAAAGGCTGACCTGATCAAATCAGAGCTGCAAAATGCACTTTGAAGCCCCAAGGCCTTCCTAAATTAGCAGTGACTTCCTGTGTAATCACCACAGAGAGAACACTCCTGTCCCTTGCATGGTGTGTAGAAGCCCACTGGGGTTGAAGACTGAGACAGCTCCCTGGGAAGGCAAGTCAGCCTGCGACGATTGCTGCAGTGTAACGAGCAGAGCAGCCCTGCAGAGCTGCTGTGGGACTAGGTGACAATAACTGAGTGTACCCAGTTCTCTGCTTGCTTCTTGAGGTCTGATACTTCTTCCCTCCTCACAGAGCAACTACACCACCCTTAATTCAGGGGGCGGAACCTCTGTCAACAAAGCATTTGCTCAGGAAGGATCTGTTCCTTACAGAACTGAGAAGTCACCCGAGCAATCTTTGTTTTCTTCCCTTTAAGCAGGGAGTATTTACACCAGCTCTGACACCCAGCACCATTAGCACGATGGTGTGATCAAAGGTAGCTGTCCCACATCCACCACCTGCCCTGACAGAGCAGCAATGCAGCACTTCCCACTGCCTCACCTTACGCACTTCCCTGACACTGTTGGGCTGCTCTCTCCCACAGACTGTGACTGTGATAACAGTCTCTCCTACAGCAACAAAGGAACAAACTGAACTTTGCACACACCAGGATGATGTATTGACAAGTTCCTGCCCAACCCCATCATTGAACTAATCTTTAGTCTACCATCTTTGAACCTAGTCTGAGCTCAAAAGTAAAAGAAATGGGGTATGAGTTTGCTGTCCTAGATCATCAAACCAGATACACTACAATCTTTGTACTCACTGTCACAACACTTATTAGCTTTATCATGTTGCCATTGTAAAAATAAAAGTGAATTGGACATGTATCACAAAAGAAGGAAAGGGTGTCTGCTGGCTGAGTGTCATGTGCTAGGATTTTAGGACACCACTAAAGTTATTACCTCTAAACTCAAATTTGGTAATTTTCTAGATTTTAACTTGAAAGTTCCTAGGAAAGGCTTGCAGGCACATTCCTAGGCTAGGAAGTAGAAAAGAAGCATGTTTTGCAAGAAACTAGCTGGTTGAATTCCTGTCTGATTGATAGAAAGTTTTTATGCAGCAAGGGTGATCTTGCAATATTAATTGCTAAGGTGCCTAGAGCCCTTGTATATGCATCCTTTTATTATTTAAATATTGGAATAAATAAATCAGCTCACTTAAGCAACCAGCAATCCAGATTTGTTAGAATTCTTTCATTAATTTTGATGGTGCTGAACCCCAGATCTGTTAAAAGACTGCAGAAGAATAAGTCAGTCACGGTCTCTTGTAACTTCTAAATGTAAATACCTCAGCTGTAAGAAATCAAAAGTTATCTAGATTTCTTTCATTCACTGGTTTTTTAAATAACTAATGGGGTATTAAATGCTTCACTACAGAAGTCAGCACTTGGGCTTGGCTAAATAGTAATTCAAAATTACAAGAACGTGTATGTCGGTATACTCAGCTTCCACCCCAAAGGAGATATTTCACAAAGGCTCAGAAGAAAAAGAAGAACACAAAACAAAAAGGCAGCACAAGTTTAAATATAATTACTGACATAATCTTAACAATAATGTGATATAATTGGTAAATATCCAAATTAGTAAACCCAAGGAGATATTTAAACGCTTTGATATATTGAACATCAGGAGAAATGAACCATCATTATTTAATACCAACTTCAATTTTTTAAATGCCAAGTTCAACTAAAAAGGGTAGGGCCCAGGGAACTTTAAATTTAAATGATTATGATGACTAGAAACAAAGGAAACAATAAACTTATGGATGTTAAAATGCCTCGAAAAAGCCAACTTACGCGGCAGCTTCTTGTTTTGACAACCCTTTGATATTCTTCGCCAAATAATCATCTATGCCATCTTTGTCTTTGATCAAATGAATCCTAAATTTAAATGAAAAAAATTAAAAGAAACACTGTAAGGTGCTAACATAGACTCCTGCAGCATGTATAATATATTATCATTGCCAAGTAGAGCTAAATACTGAAATATTGACAAAGTAATATATCAGACATTCTATAAACACATACAAATATCTTTTTAATTTTTTGGTCTGTAGCTATTTCAAATCTTTATTTCTAAAAGAAAACAGAGATAGTATTATCTTTAAAGGATCTGGTTATCCGATATTTCAGTCTGAACTAGAAGAAACTGTGTATTAGCTAAATCAATAAAAATTGATTAAGCTATCCATATTTAAACTGCTTCCTAAAACCAGAACCATTACATTTTTGCATTATTGGTATGGACCAGAGTGGTCCAATCTATTTCATATTTAACCTTTTCAAAATTAAAAAAGAAAGAAAACAAATCAACAAAAAATTTCCCAAATCCAATTCAGAATGTTTTCCTTGGTGCAATGCAATCTTTTAATACTTCTCTTGACTTCCCACAGTTTGAGCAGCATATTGCAAAAGGTGGTCCACTAAGGGGGTAATCCAAAGGGCATTAAAATAAAGAGCAAATTTCAGGATGCGTGGATCTAATTTGAATATTTGAACTATGCATCGTTTCACCTTTCACTTCAGCCATCATCACTCTGCATCTCCACTCTGATACACAAGAGATGCCTTCAAAGGATAATATGCACTTACTGACCATAAAGTGTATTTAAATAGAATCTGAAATCCTGACTGTAGAGGATATCATATTTATAAAAGTAATGTGAATTTATTTTTATTCTTCTGTAAAAGAGCATAAAGATTGTCTGGTTAATCACTCAGAGATAAAAGAAATTCAACATTAGTGCTCCACATAAATCTATTACTTTCCTCTTTCCTTGTCTGTATTTACACTGCTGTCTTTCATTACAGTGATGAGAGTAAATTCTTTTCATAATGTTAGCTAATATAAGCATCATACTTCTTATTGCTCTGAGAATACCAAAGACACTTCATGAAGTTCATTTAAATGAAAACAAAATAGCTAAGCAAAGCAGAGATATTTTGACATATCTGTATTTAAAACAATGTAACAGTGAAAACTTCCGTCACAAACAGTTCATTTAAATCTGTTCCAGAATTTGCTACTGCTGAGCGGCACCAGCAGAGGCTTCTGCTTCCAGGCTGCACATAACACAGTCCAGATGAGTTGTGCTCATCTTGCTAAATGTACACCTTATGGATACTGCCATAAAAATTCAGTTATAATCAATACCAAAACGTAAGCAGTATCAAAATTTTAACACCAAAATAGTTACAATTTAGAGAGGTATGTAATGTCGTTTGGATCATGAAGATAAGGTAATTATTGTTTATTTTAAACTGATGTAAAATATATTTCAAGACACTATAAGTTTATATGAGGTAACAGAAAAATTGAAAACCAGTATTTCTGGGCAAATAAATATGAAGTATCAACACAATAAAAACCCTGAGTGACCTTTGTACTTTAAAGTTGCAAAAATGAGATTTCTTCACATCAGTAGCACAGAGAGAACACATCACATATTTGGTGGGGCGGAAGTCCAAACCCCCAAACTGAACCAGTCAACTGCAACAGGCAATTCTTAGGCATCACTATCACCTTGGTGAAAATTTATCTACACCACAGTTAAAAACCATCTCAAACTGGAACAAAGGAAAGCCTGGTGCCTTGTCATTGTCTTCACAAAGGTATTTTAACTAAAAAAATTCATGGGAAAAGCCCTCAGAAGCATATACAATTTAAAATGTCACCTGCCTTATAGCCAAGGTATAAATTTCTGAATTCTTATTGGTTACGCCCTCAAGCTGAAAGACAACTACAGCCAAGGGAAAAAAACATAAGCAAAAACTTGCAAACTAATTACTGTTTACATCAGTTCTGCAATAACCTGTTTTGGATTGATGCAACTACAAACACGGTCACCCATCACAAAGAATTGAACTTACTGAAAATAATAAATATTTATCTCATCCTGGCTGTTATTATCAATGACGTTAATGTAACAATAACACAGAAAAGGCAGGTAGATGATACATAGGAAAAAACACATTAGAAAATTCCATCATTATTTAAAATGGTTTGTTATATGCAATGAGAATTAAAAAAATACAATCAATTTGTGACTTGGAATGGACATTGTTTTTTCAGAGAGAATTGAGGTGAGGATAGCACTGGCTAAAAGGCATTCTTTCTTTTCTTCCACAGGTTGTCACTTGCTTTTTCTGAGCTGTTTTAGCCTTAGTTCTCCAGTGTTTCCATAATGACTCGCTATATTTCATAAATAGTGCATTTAAGAAGTCCACTTCACCTGTGCATTTCCTCCTATTTAATTTTAAATCACTCACTTATGAAGATAAATATATTTTAATCCAGTGGGCACCTATCCCAGAATTAACATTTTTACCATGTCTTCCTATAACTGTTTCTGTTATCAGTCTCCACAGGAAAAAGATACTTTTTTTTTTCTAAAATTAAATTTAATGATAAATATATCTGGTTTTTAATCAAATAATGGAATGGAGTCGCATAAAGGACCAAACTAATTCTCACACAATTTTCTATCCCCACTGCCTATGCTGTTAACTCAGACTCCAGCTTTCTCAAAATCTCTTATAAAACAAAATTGCAGAGCTTGTCTTGTTCTCATCACTAGGCACCTACAGCATGGTCTAGGCCATTACAGAATCAGACATTTCTTTTATGCAAATAGGCACAACCTCAGTAGGATTCCCACAGAAGGATCTCCTTGAACAAGCCTCCTACCTCCCTCTGGAATGGGTTCTCCAGCAATGCAGTTACTGGAAAAAGTGATGGCTGCAGAACACAGCTCCAGCCATAAAAGATTTAAAAAAAAATAAATGGTAAGACATGTCCTTACTCTATCAATGCGTGAGAGGACACGTCTCAGTTTGAGCCCCTCGGAAAGACTGGGCACAAGGACAGGATGTTTATGGATCCTTACTGCTTTTAGACATGGACATGCAGCTGCTTAACTCTGAGATGTCCCAGAACTTTCAGCCAAAGGCTAAGGGGAATGCTAGGATCAGGAAAAAAAAAAAAGGAAAAAAAAAAAGAAAGGAGAAAATAACCACAATTCTTTCTGAAATGGAGGCAATTCCAGAAAAAAGAGCAGAGAAGAAACTGAGAGACCAGTACTCACTGAGGGGGACAAAAAAGGGGAAATGAGTGCAATGGAACAGGAAGACACATAGGCATGTGCAAGAAGAAGATGGATTGTATTATGCCACTGCTGCTAATTTTCTCAGCTATTAAGTACAGTATAACGTTTTTCAAGCCAGCTTTATTAATTATATTTTGAGAGTTGCAAAACTGTGCATGAATGAAACAAAAGAATCTTGGGTTTTTTTCATTGAAATAAGTATTTTTTTAATGACCTACATTTGCATCAGTGCTAAATGAAAATAACTTTCTGTGGCTTTTAAAGGGTTTTGAAGAATTAGGATGAAATACCTACCTTAAACAGAACATGTTTTTTATTTCTTTTTTTTCTTTTTTTTTTTAATTCTGAAACTTTCCTAAGAGAGAATTTCCTTGCCTCTGATTTTTGTAGTTTTAAATATTGCAGAAAAGCAAACAGAATTTGTCACCTCGGCATAGCTGATTGAAGCTATTCACAGTGAAAATGATGCTTTGAAAGAAAAGAGGTACATACCTTGCAAAGTCTAATGGGGGGCAAACAGGCTGCTTTACGAACCTGGGATGCTCCCCTGGGCTTTGTATGATCGCTTGAGGCAACACATTCATTTTAACTGAAACAAACAAAACCAACATTAGTTGAAACCACGTCTTCAACGCAGATAAGCAATGCAGTTTCTTATCCTTCTCGTGCTGCTTCCCAGTCCACTCTTTAATTTCCAGTGGGCTACATGTAAAACCCAACTCCAGTTCCACACAAATCTCCTCAGCTTTGCTTCAGTAGCACATACATATAGGAATGGTCATGATCTAACTTTCAGTGGTTTTCTCTCCTTCATCGAGGTGCTTTTGATTTGCACAGGAACAGCTGATTCAGGAACCATACTTGCATGGGATTCCCTGTGCTTCCTCAAGCTATCCAGGTCCAAGTATTAACAATATTTTAGATTAATACATAAGGTGAACAAATGATGGAACATACAGTGTGCAGTGCAACGACAGGCACTGTATTAATGTTCAAAATACTACATAATCATAAGAGTAACAATCTTTTGAAGAAAGAATGTAAGCAATGCTATACTTACAACACAGGATTTTACTTAAAACAAAAGCCAAAAGCCCCACAGTTATGTAGAATCGTCTAGCTTGTCATCTTGAAGTACATAAATGCTAATAGGACTTTTTTGTCATATAGAGCTACTGTGTTTTTTCCCCAAGTATTCAGTCTACACTTCCTACCATTAAAGTTTCAGCTGCCAGTTCCTTCATTTTGCATGTCTGTGATCTGAGGACGTTAGCAGCAGGAGCACCCTTACTTTTAAATTTGGTTTAATGTAGGTATTGCATGCCCTGCTGGTAGGCCTGAAGGCACAAACTTTTAATAGGGATGGAAAAACAGAATATAATAAGAAGGGGGGAAAAAATTTAACTATTTGCTACATTTAGTGAAACAAAACTTATTTTATGGGAAATAGTTATTAGATATGAATCAATTTGTTACTGAATGATCAGCATCAGACTAGCAGATATTTTATATTAGCCCTTCTGGGATCAAAAGCCATTTCATTGATGCAGTATTTTTCTGCAGCTATAACGAAGTAATTTTTTTAATTGTGTTACTTAGAATTGAATAACAAAGACAATTATAGGTTGAAAGATGATAGGATATTTCTCCTAAGTCATTCTTTTTGGACCTAGTATAATAATATTTGTTACAGAAAGAATATTATTTATAAATAATCTAATCTGCAATCAGAGACAGCAATATTTTACAGAAGTGTATCATGGAAAATAAAAAATCAATAGAATAAAAACATATGGGTCATTCATCACTAAAAAAGATTACACTTCTTATAGAAAATGACAGGTTTGTGTACAGGAACTGTATAGAAAGGAAAACCCCTTTTTGGGAAGATGCTATTCAGTGAGAAATAGTAATTAAACTTTGGAACAACAATAATGAAGCCCAGAGAAGATGCAAAGCTTTCTACAAGCTTCTTTGTTTTGAGGTATTAAGCAAGAAAAAGAAAAAATACATGCCTTAATGGCAGCTGATGAAGCCGGCAAGGCAGGGGAGCTGGCTGGCTGCAGCTATGGGGCAGAAAAGGCAGGGGGAAGCAGCTGAAAGGAGACCTCGGTAGAGCCACTGTAACCATGAAAAGCTATTAATGGGGAGCTGTACTTTGTGGCCTGTCACAGGCTCCAGGCTGCACCCACAGGGCACCTGGCTGGAGCAGACAGCATCTCCTTGCTGCCTCACGCACTCCAGGTTCCCACCCTACAGAAATCAAGTCTCTGGGAAAACAGGCTGTCTAGCACACAGGTCTCACATGAACATGAGGCACATAGGCAGACATTTTTCTTAGTACATTACTGCCTCACAAGGATGAAAACTACTGCCCTGACTCCTATTTCAAACTCAAAGCTTGGGAAAGAAAAAAAACCACCCTGCGTCATAATGCCAATTTAACTCTTACTTTAGAGGTGGGAGGTTGCTTTCAGAGTGATATGGACGGTGCATTTCCCTAATTTCCAAGGTAACTGTGATTCTTACAGGTAAATTAAAACCACAGAGACACAAGGCAGAAGGCATGAGCAACACGTCCTTCTATTACAGTCACGTAGATTTTCGTCGCTGACTGCTAACCCCTTTACATCTTACTCCTTTATTATAAAGCCCAAACCACATCTCCTTTACTTAATCAAATGCCCATGGAATACAGCAGAAGACAAGGCAGTGCAGTTTGTTCCTGAAGAAGTGCTCTGCTTAACCACATGATGGAGAGAGTCTCCCCACGGGCTGGAATTGCTCCAAGGTGTTCTTAAGCTGAAGGAAAAACGCCAGCTGACTGGAACTGTGCCTTTCCTGGCACCTTTCAGTAAACCTGCTGGCCACCTCTCAGCCCTTCCCACATATTTTCCGAGGCGTGCTCAGACCTGACTGGAGGCTGAAGGTTTCCCAGGGCTGGAAGCAGCCGAGGAGTGGCTACACACGGCTGTCTTTGCGGGCACCTCCGAAGATGTCAGAGCGTGGCAGGACAGACTTACAGCCACGGCAGTTTATTACACTGAAAGTAATAAAGTAAATTGATTTAAAAATTTTTTCTTGAAATCTATACCCAGCGTGATGGATGTTATTTCTTCCAAGTAAGCTGGACGAGGCCACGGCCCCAACGTATCCTGGATGACCTCCGTCAATGCAGCCGCCCTCCGCTGCTCCCTGTTCCCAACCACCGCCCGGGGACGCTCCGGCTTCTCCCTTCACCTGTGAACCGGCCCCGTACGCCACACACCCTCACCCTTGGCTCCGGCACCGCCTCGGCCTCTTTACAAATAAAATATAAGCCACATTAGCTGGCGTGCCCCGGGGAACAGACCTGTGCTCATGGCGCGGCGACAGGACGAGCTCCCCGCGGCGCCTCAGGGCGGCCCGGGACGCCGCGGCCTCGCCATGGCGACGGGGAAGGGCGGCCCTGGGGGCCGGGCCTCCGGGAGGCCTGAGGGAGGAACCGGCCCGGCGATCCCCTCAGGGCAAGGGCGGCGGTTCCGGGAGCCGCGAGCTACACTTTATCCCGTGGAAAATACGGGAGCTAGGAGAAATCGGAACGGCTGGAGGGGTTGGTGTGCTTTTTGGGAGCTCAGCTGGAACGAGTTGTCTCAAACGGGAGCATCCCTCAAGGCTGAGCGAGTTTCTGCAGTTGGCAAGCAGAGAGCCAGGCCAATATGGTACTGATACCTAAGAAGTGTGGGCAGTGTCATAGATGACCCATGGACACCTGCAGAGAGCAGGCTTTCTTCTTTCACAGAATGGGTCAGGCTGGAAGGGATCACAGTGGGTCAATCTGGTCCAAGCTCCCTGCTCAAGCAGGGTCATCCCACAGGATTGTGTCCAGACGGTTCATGAATATCTCCGGTGAGGGAGACTCTACACCCTCTCTGGGCAATCTGTTCCAGTTCTTGGTCACCCGCACAGTGAAGAAGTTCTTCCTCATATTCCAGTGGAACTTCCTGTGCATCAGTTTCTGCCCTTTGCCTCTTGTCCTATTGTTTGGCACCACCGAGAAGACCCTGGCACCCTCTCTTCAGATACATGTATGCATTGATGGTCTCCTCTCTGTTGCCTCTTCTCAACTCCCTCAGCTTCTCCTTGTAAGAAAGATACTCCAGTTCTTTAATCATCTTTGTTGCCCTCTGTCCTTTCAGGACCTGTGATCCTCTCCAACATCCTTCAGGACTTCTGAGTAGAGGGAAAGAGCAAGTAGAAGAAACACTAGACTGAATATCTGAGTAAGTGACATAACCTGAAGATGTTTGGTTTGTGGAAAACATTGTCACTTTCTGTTGATGAGAGCCTGCGGCTTAATTAAATGTCCAAAAGGAGCTGTTCTTCTAAGTGACTGGTCTCCTTGGAGTCAAGGGGCTGGTCAGAGGTGGAAATATTGAGAAGGAACCAACGAGCTTTTGCTAAGTGCAAATCAAAACTATAAGAGAACACAAAGAGCAGAGATTTTTCAGTAACTTCTCTTTTCATGTTGGAAACTTGACACCAACAGAAGAATCACTTTTTAACACAGATTTGACCTAGTTTTTATTGCTAAAACTGTTTGGAAAACAAAAATGTCAAAATCAATTGTTATAATCTATTTTGGAAGGATCAAGTGGACAGAGAGCACTTCAAAAGTGGCATTACCTTTTCTGAGTTGATGGCAATTGGAAGCAAAGGATCTTGAATGTTTATGGGTCAATGTTCTAACGGATAAGTCAGAAGCTGACAGGGTACTTAGCCGATATCAAATCACACTAGAGAACAGCATGACCTATGCCTTACCCACCTACAACATACAGGGAAAGCACTGCTGTACCGAGTGAATTTCAATCTGAGTGACATATGCTGAAGGTCTCATGCTGCCAGCGTTAAAATGTACTTGGAATTTAAAAATATTTAAAATGTCATTTTCCTAACTCAAAAAGTGTCGCATCCAACACCGAGGAATTCTAGATTAGACCTCATCTTGTCAGATGAAAAGGAATTGATCACAGAACTAAAAATTAGCCATAGCTTAGGTATAACTGATAATGATTTGATCACATTTTTTATGTGCAAACAGAATCAAGTCCAAACCAATAATATATATACTTAATCTTTTGAAAGGGCTAATTTTATAAAGGTGATTACTATTATGAGGTAATTCTATAGTAATACTATGAGGTAATTCTGTTGAGAGAAGGAATTTAATCTGAAATGGGAGAATGATAATTGGAAACGGTTTAAGGATGTTAGTGCAGATACCCACATAGCCGTAATTCCACAATTAAGGAATACATTTGCTGAAAATCCAGGGTACTTTACAAGGCAAACATCTGTGAAACAAAAAAGAATGTGGTATCATACATGTACACTGAAAGCTAGGAATTGTAGAAAATTACTGTGGGAAGTAAAAGGTTATAAGGGAAATATACATATGGTCAACAGAATTAAAATGAGAAAAATGGAAGCTTTTTGCAAATACAGAACACAGAAAATGATCTGAATAGTGAGAAGACCCTATTAAGGAATGAAGTTGACAGCTTTAACCATAATTAGTGACAAACTTTGAATGTTAAATATATACAT